TCTCTTCACCCTAGTGTCCAATACATACATAAATTCTATCCTTCAAATATAATGGCTGGTTTTAATGGTAGTATCTGTACTATTATAAATAAATGTTTAATCCTAATCCTTACTCTAATCTAATCCTTCTCTGATTAGTGTCCAATTTGACACTAATTGTAATCCTGACTGATCTTATATATTTTAATAATACAATAGTTTTAGTACAACAGTAGTAAAATGTACAGCTAAAAGTATGGCTATATAAAAAACCACAACCTCTCTCTCTCTCTCTCCCTCTCCCTCTCTACCCCCCCTCCCCCCCTCCTCCCCGCCCTACCTGCAGGTTGCTCCACAGACTTTGACTGTTCCAGCAGATGCTCCTTAGCTTTGGCAGATTGAGACAACACTGTGGCCAAAAGCTGTGAGTAAACAAACAAACAAACAAAAAAAAACACCACTGACATCAATAATATAAAACACAGTTCATGTTAAAGCTGTGAAACTGACTGATCTCTGCCAGAATTATTCTGGGATGGACCAGTTCTAGTTCTACTGTGTAAATATGGTCTGGTTCTTAACGGTTTTACATTCACCCAGACTTTAGCAGAAGCTTCAGACTGACGACACTGACAGTAAAGTTAATATCAGTTGTTGGAAGTTTAGAGTCAAATGTGCAAAAAAAAACCAAAAACCTTTTTTTGTTTTAATTAAATGTAAATGTATAACAGTGTGTGTTATACCTTAACTCCCTCAGCTTGTGCATGGAGGATGTGTGCACTGCCTGCGCTCTGACCGCTGCCTGATGACCTCACACTGGTGACGCTGCCAGAACTGCCGACGCTGCTACGGTCTCCACCTGTAACAAACACACACACACACACACATACACACAAGCACACACATGCGTACATGTACACAAACATACAAACATGCATTCACACATGCAGGCAGCCACCCCAAAAAAAAGATTGTTTATGCATTCAAAACACATGCAACAAACAGATGGACGCACACAGGCCCACACACACACACACAAACAAACACACACACACAAACACACACATTCAGTGGATTAGCTGACGTCCAATAGCATGGTAATTGTTGTGACTCTCCATTGAAATGCACAGGTCAGCATGTGATTGTATGAATGTGGTTTATGGACAGACTGACAGACTGTAGGACAAACAGGTGAAACAAGAGACAAAGTTTGCTTACACACACACACACACACACACACACCCTCACTCTCTCACTCACTCACAGACTGTAGACCAATGCTGTAGATGGCTGCAGTCCTACACACTGAGGCCTCTGACGTTGGCTAAGTTATAGATGGAGGGATAAGGAACAGGACATGGGAGACTGTGGGGCTCAGGTCAAACAGCATCTGAAGGCCTTCAAACTCAAACATCCCATAATCACAGACGGATGGACCTCAGGTCCTGGCCACGGGCGGTGCAGCAGGAGAAGTGTTTTTGTACTTTTGAATGGGCTTCAGATACTGTTTAACGTCAGCTCAGAACTCTAGGAGTCAGAAGTTGAGGGTTCAGCGCAGCGCGGCTTAGTTACCTGCCACGGGTTTGCGCAGTACCCAGATCTCCTCGTTGGAGCCTCCATGGGGCCCGCTGGACGGGGTAGGAGAGCTGTGAGGACTTGCCTCTGAACCGCGACAACCTTCAACACAGAACACCACTGTTAGCTACTGGGGAACCGAAACTGGCCGTGGAACCAAAGCTGCTCTTTCCTAACGGAGGAGCGGGGGTGGATGGGGGGGGGCAGTGTTAGCATTCAGGTTCTAAGGTGAACTCAAGAGTTGAGTGCAGTAGTTAGCATTGGCTAATTTGTGCCTGTGGTCAAGAATTTTCACACTGAGATTTGAATACGACCTCCCTAACACTGATGCCCAGCAGGGGGCAGACTTAATTAATTCAATTACAAAACCAGCAGCAAAAATTACAATTTTGTTTATTTGCTTTTTCTATTTTCTCTTTAAGTTATTTTGATGTATTTTTTTACTGGTTTGTTTATCCGTCGTGAATTCTTTTTTTGACATATTCAGCTGCTAAACTCAGACAAGACTTCATCAACATCAGACATGTTGACTCTTCGTCCACTTTAAAACCAACTGAAGCAAAAAGGAATAAACCTTTTAACTTTAATGAGATATTAATATTAATAGTTAATCTATAATTAAATAAATAATATCCATCCTGTTTCAAATTGAACAGAAATGGGGGGGTGGGCAGAAGGGGGCAGTACTAGAGCAGTAGGAGGGGAGGGGGGGGTGATTGACTGTAGGAGACTTTAAAAGGATGTTGGAGCTTCACATACACACACACACACTCTTGCACACACACAAACTTTCACCCTCACCCTCACACACACACAGAGACAGAGAAAAGTCCAGCATATAGATATATGAGAACATTTATATACTCATCGTACATAAATAAATCCATACCATGAATAGCTGTGTATATACACATGTTTATGCTCCCATGTCCATACACACATACATATATAATGCATCTGTATATGTGTGATTATATATGTAAGCCGTTCGATGGCGCTGCTGTCGTGCATTTGGAGAGCGTTTTCATAAACCATTATAGCAGGAATAAGTGTGTATAAGTGGTTTATGGACGTGACAGGAACAGTTCTTTTAAAGAACACACAGAGTTGCTCTAGTGCTCCTTCTAGTGGCCATTTTGATATCCTTCAGGTCAAACCGCAAAAAATCCAAACCAGTATTCATTTTTTTTAATTTGCCTAAATCAATATATAAATTATATATATATATATATATATATATATATATAAACAAAAACAGTTGATTTACCAGATTTGTTTAAAAACTTAAAGGAGGCAAAATGGCAACACATGAAGTTTCACATTAGCGAAGACAGAAGTAAAAAGATTTTGGTCGATAAAAAAAACCTTACCTGCAAAAACACCTTTTACATTTTTTTTTAACATTTGACACCCCATGTATGACACTCACTTAAATATTATTGTATAAATTATTTTTCAGGAAAATATCCAAGAATATAAAATAGCCATCTGAATATATTGTTAAGTTACAAATACATTTGACCCCTGAGTGCCACAGAAATCTCCTCTGACTAAACCCAACATGAAGCCAAGTTTATATTTCACTGTATATTTTAACAACAACACATTCTGCAGATATTTGATAATCTCACACTTGTCCACCTTTTTTTTTAAATCATACTTTTTAAAAATGATATTCACCTTCCATCATTGTTTACGCCACCCAGGCACAAAAGCATTTTTATGTACGACGTTGTTTTGACTCCCAGGTTTTATACCTATAACTTCAAATCTCACACCAAAACAAACAAATGTGTCCAACTCTACAAAAATGATAACACAGCCGTAAAAACAAAGCCTTTGTTCTTAAAGTAATTCTTTCAAACGTGCGGAGAGTGGATTTGTTCAAACCTTAAACCGTAGCAGACAGACATTCACACTGACATGCAGAGGGACACAGACCAGGGGTTTATCACTCAGTGCAGGTTAGTAGTAGACTTGGTGTTACAGTCGTCAACAGGACGAGGATGGAACAGAAAACACGCTGTCTGATCAGAGAGTGGAGTGGACTGTGGGTCTGTGTGTGTGTGTGTGTGTGTGTGTGTGTGTGTGGAAGGAAGGAAAATACAGGGTTTTCATAGAAGGTTGGACTAAAGTGGATGTGCAGGCAAAAAAGGAAGGAGAAAAAGTGCAAAAAAGGAACAAAAACGTACAAACAAACAAAATAACTGGACATCATGACATTTAACCGAAGTACAAATCAGATAAAATTAAAATTATAAAAGTCATTTTTCCCCATTTATAATCATCTCACTGAGAGAAACGTCATCACTTTACTGTAACAGCTTGAACTTTTTGGTAGTATCTTTTTTTATCTAGTGAATATATTATTTTTATTATATAACAAAAGTCATGTTGTTTAAAAACAACTTATATTTAAATTATGTCATCGCAGTGTTGATCTTTAAGAGCTAAGCCAAAAAAGTCTTGGTCGACGGAAGCCGTGAGACTTTGACAGTAAAATCGACTAATCACCGCGATCAGCTTCGCAGCTGAGACATAAAGACTATTAGCCTCAAACAACAGGCAAATCCGGTTTAAGACACAAATTACACAAACCAGAACAAGGCGAGTGTAGAAACGAAATAATTTGAAAAATAGACTAAAACATTGAATATATCAAGTCTAACATGTTCATACACTTAAAACGGAAAGGGCAACCGGACGCAAACAACTTAGCTTACCGTTTGAGGTGATCGAGCTGTGATACGCAAACCGTTGCTTCCAAACTTTTCATTCGACATTTTTCCGTTAACTATTTCTGTAAAATGTCGTTTTGACATGGTAGACATGTAAATTAAACGCGCAAAATTATATTAATATTCAGCAACCCGTCGGACCCAGAAGAACGTTCTTCAATCTGTTTGTTGGCGGGCTGGGCTAGTCCAAAAGAGGGGGGTGTTCTGGACTCAGACTGTTACCTGTGAAACACAGTGCTCTGAAAACACCCCCATTAGCACTTGGTACGTTCTTCCTGACGTAATTAAGAACCTTCTGCAGGTGTAAAATATAAACTAACGCTTCTGTTGGATGACAGTAACCAAGGATTATTTCATCATATTTAATTTTTTTTTTTTTTAAGATTGGGCAATTCAAAAAATACTAGTATTATCTAAGGCCTGAATCTCTCTCTGGGTAAAAAAAAAAAAAGTTAACAACGGGGATAACAGAAAAACTTAACTCTGCATGAGCAACACAGAAGTTCACATAAATAATAATTCATAACAGGAGAAAAACTTTAAAGGATGCTTCCCACGATTCCAATTTAGAATTCGACATGACCAATAAAAACAGAAATCACCTGAGAAAAAGAAGCACCTCTTAAAGTTTTAATAATAATAGTAATAATAATAATGAAAAGGGGGCGTGTACCTGGGGTAGTGGGTGTGTCTCCCTGTGGCGTGGTCACGGGCGACCTGCTATAGCCAAAGGAAGTGAAAAGTGGAAGCAGTGGCTGATGGGAATGTGGTGGTGGAGGAGGCGGAGGAGGCAGGATATGGATCTGATGGAAGGTGTTGTCGTTGCCGTTGACTACCACGTTGGCAGGGGCAACCGTCGCCGGGGCAACCAGCGGTATCTTTTGAAACTGTTGAGTGCAAATGACTGTGCTGGCCAAACCTAGATAACAGCCACGGTGAAGACACACCGAAACACACACGCACGCACGCACGCACACACACACAACCAGCCCACATTGAACGAGTGCCACAGAACACACAAACAACCAACCAAACATAGAAGTTACACAGAAGAAAAAAGGGGGGAAAGAAAATTAAAAACAAAAGTTGAAGATTTAAATCAAACAAAGAAATAAAGTCAGTGAAGACGAGGAGAGAATGGACGAGATGAGGGTGAGAGAAGGTAGAGATGTATGATAACAATGGAGATGATCTGTGCGGTCTACATCGTGTGGTATATTTGTCCGTTAGAGGGCGCTATTGTAAAAGGAATTTGACTTTTTTCAACTTTAATCCACTTCAACTTAAAGTTGAGGACCTACAGTGACTCTCTCCTGGTACAGCTCTATATTTACTCTTGTTTATTTAATTTATTCATTTTCTACCTTTTTAGAGCCTGCAGGAAGTTGGAGCCCAGTCCTGCAGTGATCGGGCAGGGGGCTGGGTCAGACCCTGGGCAGTTCTCCAGTCCATCACAGGGTCAAATATAAAGACAAATCACTATTCACATCCTGCATGTCTTTGTACAAAACTGTAGTAAGTGCGCAGCCCGACTTATGCTGAGAATAATTTGTCTGTTTTTATCAAAATTGACTAAATATTTCTTTTTCTTTTTTAAGAAAACCTTTCTGGATGAATTCATCCATCCATCCAACCATCTTCAGGGGGGACTGAAGAATTGCCCGCCTGTCATCAGGTAAAGGTGAGTAATGCCGACTGTGGGTCAGTAGCGTTCTAATAGCTGCGGTCTGAGGTTCTGTGTCTGTAAATGTTCTGTACATTAATGAGTGAGAGTTAACGTGGAGTTAATGTCAGAGACGGGTGAGGAGAGTGTGAGGATTGTGTGAGTGCGTGGTCAGAGGGGGATGAGGAGGACGACTGCAGAGACAGACAGACTGAGCAGCAGACACATGACGACAGAGAGACTCACAGACAGAACACCCACACCTACAGACCAACACCAGGAGGCACCTGAGCCTGTCTGTGGTGGTGTCCAGATGGGATGGAGTCACATGTGTTCTTTAGATCCCGACAAGGAGCCTAGTCTAAACAACTGGTCGACATTGGCTGGTCAACTTCAGTAACGAACGACACAGACAGGAGCCAGAATAAAACCAGTATCTAGTGTGGTTGTCAAAATAGCTTCTGCAGCGCCCCCCTTTTGTAGATAAAAATACTGCACCCTACTGCCCCGCCCTCCCATGTAGACAACTTCACAGCTGTTGCTTCAAATCTCCAAAACCTTTATATAAAATCAGTGCAATTTCCTACTGTGGCACAAATTTAAATAATTATTGAAAAATTGAAGTTAATTAGCTGGTCCTCACCCCCCCACTCTCCGCAAAAGCTTTGTGCCCCGCCCCCAAATTGGGAACCACTAATCTAGTATGGTCGCTAATATCTACATGGGAGTACTTTGATCTTCAGCCATAATAATATCTGGACGTCCTGATTGGTCAATGCTAATATCTTGTCAGTCAAATCAAACAGAACGCTGATACGAAAGAAGCTCAAATAAAAATTGTTGATAGTTACAGTTAGTTAGAACAACATTCAAACCCATGGATCCCAAATCTGCTAATATGAAAGCTAATGCTAATGTTGTTGCTAACCAGAACTAGGCCTTCACTAGTTGTTTCCTGTTGTTTATGATGACTTTTACTCTCACGTGTAGTGAAGTAGAAATTAACACCCGGACGACGGTGACGTCACTGGACTGATGTGTTTGTTGATCAGCCTGAACCTTCGACATCTTTGTTTCACACACGTACACAGGTGAGCAGACACACACACACACACCTGTGCGCTTACTGATGACTTCCACCATGGTGGACGGGAAGTAGCCCACACGGTCGTTTCCTGTCCGGTTGTCATGGATACAGCCTTTCCAGCGTCCATCAGGATGCTGCTCCAAAACCTGTCAGACAGATGAGTTTTATTATTTATTATTTATTTTTTATTTATTATTATTCCGACACATCGTAGAGGACGGTGTTGGATTTTTCTAAATTTTTGTTTGTTGTCGGCATTCTCACTAAAATGTTTTAGTATTTGTTTGCAACATTTTTATTTAAAACTATTCCAACAAGATTTTCAAACATCACAGAGGAAACTTGTGACAAGGAGGCAGTGAAACGAAAGTGTATCTCATGAAACTGCTGCGTGTGAAGAATTACTTTTATTGAACAATTTAAACAATTTTCAATTTAAACTTTTTGTCCTTCTGTGTATAAACATAAAATGTTTGTTTTATGGGAGGAGACGCCGGTTACTGTGTGTACTCAGTTACACTGAATTCAGTGGTTTGATTATATGGATTAACTGACAAAAGTGTAGCCGGGCCAACAGCTCCCCCTGGGGGTGACGGAGAGAAGTTGCAGGAAGAATAATGTTTGTGAGGTGTTGAACACGTGATCACATCTATATAAAGTGTGTGTGTGTGTGTGTGTTACCGTAATGTCCTCCCCTGCTTTGATGTTGAGGCTGGTCAGGTCGTAGTTGTTGCAGTAATCTTTCAGAGCTCGGACCTGCAGAGCTGCTGATGCGTCTGAGAGACGATGGAACCGTAGAACATCAGTTACTGCACAAAACTTCACAGTTCACCAGTTCTACAGCATGACACGGGAGTCGGCAGTAAACGGACGTTTGATTCGTCCATCATTTCACTGGTACTACACTTCAAACTATTTCATGTGCTTTGATTGGCCATTCATCCATCCACTCATCCGTCCGTCCATCCGTCCTACCTCTCAGCAGTTGTTTGATCTCTCTGCTGGCCTGTGTTGCGGTGAACTGATAGACGATGTCCAGTGCCGTCTGACTGTACGTGTTTCTCACTGTAGCGTTGATGCCACACTGAAAAAAAAGGATTGTTTTATAGTTGTATTTTTTTTTTAAATTATTAGCAGTTTTAATACATTTTTGTCCAATTTAAACATTCATTTAAAGATGTTTGTTGAACAACATCTGACGTCTGATTGAATATAATTAGTTTATTATTTACTACTTTATTGAACTGAGGTTAAAGAACAAACAAACTGATATTTAAACACCCTCAGCATCAAACCTCAACAGTTATACAGTAGGATTGTAGTTACTCTCCCCCGTCACCATCACCCACTCCTCCTCCCTCCCTCCTTCTCTCTCTTCCACCCCCCCCTCCCCCCACATCACAGCCTCAGGAGCGACATCACATTCAAAGCTAACGTCAGACAAATGAAGACTAATTCGGTCTGAAGAAGCTTCAGGGTGAAAAGACTGCAAACCTTTCAAGGCACAAAGATCTAAATGAACACTTAGAACATATGCTGTCACTGGTTCTCAGACTGTGACCTTTGGCATTTTAGTGTCAATGTGTTTTTGGTCTATTTCGGTGCCTGGGTTTTTATCACATGTCCATAATGTGATGCTCTCAGAGGCCGAGAAAACGCCTCGGACACAAAGAATACACTTATGTAAAGTTCTTATGTAAAAAAGCAAAGCTATATTTTGTTTTCTTCTCATTCTTCTGAAAACTATGGGATGTAAAATGTAGTCATTCACATGAAGAGAGCTCCATACAAACGTATCTAATAATGTTTTGGGCCAAAAACATATTTTTTTGTGTTATGTATCAGTTGATATGAAACTATGTGACAGTGTAGAAAACATCTAGAATATTTATAGACCTCAGGTTTGTGTACATTGAGTGCACACAGCTGTTAGCTCCACAGACAACACACATCATTTACTGTATGTATTCGAAAAGCCACACTGGTGCTCCGGTGCAGTTCCACTTACTTCCAGCAGGAGTCTCACTGCCTCCGTTTTGCCGCAGAGAGCAGCTTCATGCAGGGCAGTGCCTGCTTTGGTCTGTCTGTTGATGTCGATGCCGGCCTGGATCAGGAGTCTGGAAACACAGGAAGTCAGGGATTAACGACAAAGAGAGGAGAGACAGAAGCAGAGTTCATAAATATAATATTACATATATATAAATATAAAATGTAAAGGACAAAACATAGGTGTGTAAACAGAGAAAATAAAAATGTCATGATGGGTTCAGAGTCCTGTTTTCAGGAGAGGATTCTCCCTGAGGTCACAGATTACAGTTAGACTGAGTGAAAAGAGCGAGCGTCGCCTCTGATCAGACGAGTCAGATCATCGCTTGATGTTTAGAGGACTAAAAACTTCAGAACTGATCTGGTTAAGTCTAATCGGACACAGAGGAGGGGTTGTCAGGGGTGTGTGTATTTACAGGATGTCGTTTACTGCAGAGTAGAAACACAGACCTCACAGAAGCATT